CCTCAAAATTTGTTGCGTAGTTTTAAAGATTTAGGCATACATATATATGATCATTGGGACATAGAAAGCCACTTTGCTTTATTCCATGTAGCGGTTTCTATTATTAATATTACAATTATTTTTAAACAAATTTTATTGATCTTCATCCACCAGCCAGTTGAATTAATTGAGACCACTCTAACAAAGTTACTTTGAAGAAAAGAAAAAAAAGACAACCAATCGATAAAAAAAAACTTCTTGTTATTTTCAACAGAGAAGTCTTGTCTCGAAGTATTTGTAAAACAAATGAATCGTCTTTAGGGTTGACGCGTATTAAAAATTTTAACACAAAAAATATATTAATAATTTTGCCAAGATGGCCGCCCCATAATGAGTGAAGACAGATCTTGAGTGCTTTGGGGCTTTAAAACATTTTCGACTAGCTTTTGCCCGCGACACCGTTCGCGTGGAATAGTGACTTCCTTCAGATTTTTGATGTAAAAACTATCCTATGTCCTTTCTTGAGTTTCAAAATATGTCTGTTCGAAATTTCACAGAAATCGGTTCAGTAGTTTAGGCGTGAAGAAACGACAGACAGACAGACAGACAGAGTTACTTTCGCATTTATAATATTATAGTATAGATATAGATTAAGAAAGGAGAACCCTGCGTGTATCTTCTTAAAATAAACATTTCTTGTACTTATACCACTCTATTACTATACCTACTGTTATTTATCAAATTCTCCTTTTATTTACCCAACCATCTATTCGATGGTAGCGGAAACTAATTATATCTTTAATTCTAATCATTTTTAATTCTCATTGGGGAATAAACCATTTTGCATCCCACATTAAATTATTTGAAATTGAAAATTAAATCATTTGTCTTTTTGAAAACATACCATAGGTAACATAAAGTCATTGTTAAATGTTATATTTGCAATATAGATAGTCGATTTATGATTTGCGACAAATCCTTAAAAACTTTATATGACTCGAAAAAATTCACATTAGTACTTCTCAGCTTTAAAATGCGTACGCTTATGCATAAGGCGTCTGAAATCGCATCAAATTGCATTGTATATAACAATTTTACAATAACAATACCAAAATAAACAATATGAATCACGTTTCACGCGGCCATCATAACCTCAAAGCTTGCATAGTGCGGCTCTTCTGCACACACATTAATTCTCTTTGTAACAACCCTATGCGTATTGTTTTGCATTCGCAACGCTAGAGGGCGGTGTTGGAGTATTTTTGAATTGTAAATGTGGTACAGACCAGTGTAATCATTGTTTGTGATGATTTTGGATTGATGTTTGTGTGTTTAGATTGTTATGAGGCTATGTTTAGAAAGTAGGTAAAATAATTTCATAGAATTATTGTATAAATGGTGAACTGAAAAGTATAGATACAGAAAGCACTATAATATCCTTACAAAATATAAACCAAGTCACTTTTTCCATCTCTATTCTTTAGAACTACGCAACGGATTATGTTGTGATATTTTTTTAATAAGTAGAGTGATTAAAGAGAAATGTTTATATATGTATAATAACATCCATTAACCCTTCGAACTCCAAGCGGTAACCGGTTGCCGGACCTTACGCACTGCGCCGTTCACTCAAACCCTAAGCTGCAACCGGTTTCCGTTTAGGGTTCGAAGGGTTAAATAATGGAGAAATTTAGTATCACCATTGCACTTGTGCGAAGCCAGGAAGGTCCCTAGTTCTCTATGAGTATAACTCGAAGTTTTTTTGCCCACAATGATACAGTTAGTTTAAAAACTTCAACTGTAGTACACAGCCTCACAGAAAACTGGTGTCACACAAGGTTTTCGTTGTGTTGCGGTCTACGAGTTACTATAGGATTGGGGAGGAGATAGGAAAGGACTAGCATTTGTTCTCTTTACGAATTCCTCAAACCTCTAATCCCTAACAACTGGCAAAAAACCAACTCACTCGTGACTCCTCAGGTGCTGCGACTCTGATTGCTTATACCTTTTGTTCATAAACTTTTAACTGACTTTTTATGTTTTTTTATGGTACCTATAAGACGGATTACCTCATGCTAAGCAATCGGCGTCGCACATGGACACCCGCAACACCAAAGGATTTACGAGTTTGTTGCCGGCCTTTTCGGGATAGGGATTGCGGATATAAGGATCGAGAAGGGATAGGGCAAGGGGCGGGATTGAGCCTCCGGTAACCTCACTCACACGGCGAAACACAACGCTGTGGTTGTTTAAGTCGGTATTCTGTGAGGCCGTGGTATCACTCCGGTCGAGCCGACCCATTCTTGCCGAAGCTTGGCTCTCCTCTGTTTTATTTCATCGAAAAAGTTTCAATCTCAACTGAGATCCATAAGTACAGTTCGGTTGCAAATTAATATTTAATTACTTACATTAAACAAGTAAATAGTATACAAGCCAGCCTTTCAGCATTTAAAGTTACAACTAGCCGCTGAAAAAATTGTAACCGCAAAAACTTGTCCTGAAAAGTAGCCTCCGTCTCGTCTCCCGCTGGTACCGCGGATAGCTGGCTAATTTCCTTTTTTCATTTCTTTTTCAAAAAGTTTCAGCTGCCTTAGAATACTTCTGGATTTCTTAGTTGCAATCCCATTTCTTGGTATGAAATTCCTCTGGAAGTAGTTGAAAAATGAATTCAAATGTAGATTTTAAGGCAACCTCGGTACGTAATAACTTTAAATGTACATTGGGCATTTGGGCAAAGCGCATTTTGAGCAGGAGATGAGTCAGGGTGGTTTTTAGTCAGTAATAATCAGAGGCCACTTTTTACACCCAAAGCTGGAAATGTAGTCATTCACTGATTATGGCCCCCCCCCCTTCAAAAATAAGGTAATATTTCCACACTACCCACTAATTGGTTTTTACCGTGTGATGTAGATTATTGATGAAAAAAAAAGTCATATTTGACACAACCTCACTCTTGCCCCATCCCTTTCAACAGTAGATTTGGTAGAAACAAGGCAATGATTAATAAAGAAAGTGTCTAAATGTCTACAAACAACCAAATAAACGCCGTGTTCCAGAATGGCACTACAAACATTATAATCGAGACCAAGGAACAAAAACAAATACGCATCTCGAGAATATAACTCAAATATAACCTTATTAGACTTCAATCATCGAATTCGGTACAACGCAAAGCAAAATAATAAACAACTTTCAACTCGATGTTCGCTGTAATCGTTTTCAATCGAGTCAGCGTCGCTAAATCGAATTACTCGCGTCCCGCCGTCCGTCCGCAACTTCGCCTGTGCCTGTTTCTTTTTTTTGCACAAAGTTTTTTAAATGGAGTATGAAGATAAGGAGTGGTCTCTGTATGAAATCGTATTAAATAAAGTCATTTTTTTTTCTTTTCTGGCCACTACTGTTTATTTATTATGTTACGACTTTTTGAATCTCATCATAATGGGTGAATTTACTGCCACACTCTAAGCACAATTCTAACAGAGCTCTTCTGAAAACGGTAAATTCAATTTGAAAGACATTTTAAAAATAACGTTACAAATCAAAATTGAAAATTCCACTAAAATGACCAAGACCCAAAAAGGACTATGAAATCCTAGCTAGTGTGGTATTTAAAAACATAAAACTATACAATGGGACTCCTTACCGACTATACTCCTTGGTCTTTTCATTTCTTTTTTTTATACAAAAGTTTTTACTCTGTTCTCCTTTTAGAAACACGGTGTTGTGCGCGCGAATTTTTAAATTTCGATTGTCTTATTCGTCGTTTGTTTTTAGAACGAATGCAATTTGATTTCGCTTTGTCAATTTCTCGTCTGGTATTAGGTTTTTCATATTTTTTTGTTGAGCTGACGTTGCCGTTGATAATTCTTTGATTTCAAGGTTTAATTCGATAATGGAGATAGAGTTTTCCTCGTATTGTTTCTTTTGTGATGGACTTCGTTGCGATTAACTAATAAAATTACACATACTATTTTTTGTACTAGTATCCTGATTTTTTTTTTTTTTTATTTAGATCCTGTTATTGAATTTTCTGATTTATTTTGACATATTGCTTATTCTATATGTGTCAGTTGAGTTATTAGTAACTTAATCTGATCAAGCCTTTATCTATTTTAGGTCATTATCTGCCATTTAAAATAATAAATAATTTAGCAAATTATGAAAGGTGAACGACAGGCTTGTATGGGAGTACTGTACCGCTAATAATTTTTCGTGTTTTGGGATACTTTTTGGTTTAATTGGTAGTTAATATGATAAACAAGCCCTGTTAAAAATGTTGGATTTTTAAAACTTGGGACATAAGAGTTATATAGCTAGTTTTATTTTTAAAGGTTATGTACTAGAGTATTAGCTTAGATTGTTATTTGAAGGTACATAAACATTATTTTGGTGATTCAAAGGTTTGCTTTACGGTTGCGAACTAGTGTTACAACAATGATAGCAAGCGTTTCCCCAACGACCGAACGTGATGGCGCGTGGTTAACATCTACGGCAAAACCTAACCCACAAAATAAGGTCATCTTTGTTGAAACGCTAGTTTTCATCCATCTAGTCACTCAATAATGAAGTATTAACTGGGTTTAGACTACAGGTATATAAAAAATATTATAGGTTAGGTTTAATATATAGACATCTTTAATTATGTAACTTGTTATTCTCACTTCAAAATAATTATTTATAATTCCGATATTTGTCTTATTTTACAATGGCAACTTCTCAAAACATGACTGCGTTCAGTTTTTACGATTTAAGTGCGCTTGTTTATTGAAATCTTTTTATTGATATTTATAATTAATGCCAGCTTCTAAAAATAGAACAATTACATAAAAATTAATAGCTTAGCTGGCTTAATAAGTAGTACAAATTCTAATACATAACATTACAAAAAGTATGCGGTACAGGGCCTGCCGTTCGCCTTTCAAGACAACAAGTCTATAGTTGAGACAAAGGCAAAGTTTCATTTGTCAAAAATATCTTTTTGACAAATGAAAAATATTATAATAAAATATGACAATAATACAAAAATAAAAAAACGTTTATTTTGAGAATGCCAAAAACGATTTGACGCCTTCGAAAACGCTGTCACTGAACTCTTTAGGCCTCTCGAAAGCTGCCAAATGTCCTCCAACGTTGTAATTCGAAGTTCCTAACAAGTTGGGATACTTCCATTTTAGTAGGAAGTCTGGAGAATACGCCAGATCGTTCTTGAATCGAGCTCCCCATGTTGGCACTGAAGTTGGAATTCTGGAACAAAACAAAATATCCATTATTTACAACAAAATATTTTAAAAGACGATGATCAGAGATGACACTATAGACAGGGACGGAGATATAGGGGATATCTCCGTCCCTGTCTATTGTGTGGTACCTCAGTCGTCTTCAACGACAAACGACACAAAAAGAGCAAAAATAGTTCTACTCATTTTTATGGAATAGGAGACAAACCAGTAGATGGATCACCTGATGTTAAGTGACCAGCGCCGCCCATGGACACCCGCAACACCATGGAAGCCCCAGGTTGCTGGCATTTTAAATAAGAGTACACACGTTTGACATTATTTGTTTTTAAAGGTGAAAATCATCAAATATCTTATATCATCTTATAAATCCCTATATAAAAAAATATGTGTCAGTGCTTATTTAAATTTCGGAAAAAGTTTTATCTTTAAAAAGCTGGCAACTACGCTAACGTGGAAACAGATTAAACATAATACAAGGCGTAAAGACAAAACAACATCTGTCATGTTTTCACCCATGTTACTGTCAGTAGGCAGTAGGGTCGGACGAATAGTAGCGTCACTGTATAATTTTGTAAATTCTGCAATTATGACTGGTCAGAACAATTGTTCCAGTGTGTATGTACTCAGTTAGATTCTCTAATTATTTTGGATTAGGGTTTTACGGCTCTTTCGCCCCATGATAATGGTTTTTACGCGAGGGTAATTATCATAGTGTCCTTTCTCGCCCAGAGTGAGTCGAGAGATTATGTCAGTCTTACTATTTAGTACTCGAGTCTTCCACTCCAGTAAGCGGGGGTAATTTATTCAAAAACATACAAAAAATGAATTTTCAGGGAAATGGAAAAACTAGAATACTTTACCCTAACGGGGAAGCGAACCCGAGACTCTATTTTGGTAGTCGCACTCTACACAATTATCGTAAATGCGTCTGTTATGTACTTACAATGTTCATCATTAATATGCGCCCCTACCAAGGCTTGAAACTATACCATACTTTGGTACCTCGTCGAACAATAACGCCTTTAGTTATGATAAAAAAAAATCACAATGCCTCACCGTTCAATCATCTTTTCCATATCGCTATCTTCAAAAATCTCCTTATAAATCCTCATAGAAGTTGTGATACTTCCAGAGATCCAGTACAGCATGATATTGTCCAGAAGTTGGTCGTAGTTGTAGTACTTTTGCATGCCACCGTCAGGATCCAGCTTGTTGGCTGGGTCTGTGAAGATCATGACCCTATCTAGGATGTAGCTGGCAAGACCAACTGGCGAATCTTGGAGAGCAATACCTGGAAATCAAATGAGAAGATTTAAACAAATTGGTGATGGATATAATAAATGTACACAATTAGCGCATTCCCTGAGCAACCACGTGGTTGTCAACCGGCTGCTACGCAAAGTTCTATACCCGCACGGAGCAACTCTTTGTGTGATCAACAGATTGCTGTGCCGAATTTTATAGTCCCTGTGTGTTTTTATGAAACCTACGAAATTGAAGTTAGTAGGCAAACGAGCGGGCTGGTGAACTGATCGCCTTATGGAAAGCAATAATAACCGCTCATGGGCATGATATGATAGAAGATGTGTGGCAAAAGGCTTTTTTATATAATTTAAAAAAATGTAGATGTTTACGTAAAAAGTTTTAATGGTTCCATTTCTCTGCACGGTATTTGACAAAAAATATGTATATAGATCAGAATACGATTTAAAGCAAAAGTCAACAAAATCGAGTTTTATTAAAGGAATGCTAAAAAAATATAGTGAAAGAGAAAATTCTAGAACAAAATCTAATATCAACACAATAGTCGATTCAGAACACACTCCCGATTAATTTATAGCATCCACTTTAGCTGAGAACAATAAACCGTTTAATTTTCTCTCATTTGAACATTTTTCGCGATCTCCCTTTTCATTATACACTCTTAAACTTTATAGTCTTTGTCTGGACATTTAGAATGGCGTCACTAAAACGTTGCTGGCGGGTTTTGTTTTAAATCCTGATTCTAAAACAGGATAACTTTGGAATCTATTGTTCTGAGCTCTAAAATTTTTGCTATTAAAAAGGGGTTCTATTAATACTTGTTTTTGTTTTTTTTGACAGGGAAAAATCATCTAAATGAGTTTTACTCTCCTACCCAGGGTGATGTGACAGGGAGTATCAGATCTTTACTGACTAAAAACGCCCCTGTTCCCGTTCTCCTGCTTTAGGCCACGGTGTCTCATTGCATTTACCCCGTTACCCCGGCTGAACATCAGGGCATCAACTATAGGGCCCCATCGGTGGTGATCTATTGGCTCTTTTTGTCGTCCGGTTCTGGTCCGGCGGCAAGCTACCATTACTCGCCGTTCGCAGACCTGGGCTTACGGTGGCCGGAGGTCATCGACTTTCAATTTCCGAGGCCCGATGTGTCGCCTTCCGCGGCGACTGGGGCATGAGGATAGCTCTTTCATGCGCTCCATCTCCTTCTTTTCGTGTATAACTACTTCACAAAAAGAGGAGACGCTTCCCAATTCCTCTCGCTCCGCACCATAGCCTCGACTAAGACCAGACGCGAGTGGTCGCAGCCCCCGATCACTTTCCTGAGAACATGGCCATTGCCACCGTATACTCCACATTTCCTTTTGAGTGATCCTAACAATGATAATACCTTGGCGTTTCTTCCCGCCGGATCCGAATCAGGAACCTACCGAAGCTGCCGTACTCGGAAGCACCGGAAGGTGAGAAAACCATGGCGTCTCTCAAGCCACTCCTCCAAAAGGTGTCTTACCGCTGCTATAACAGCGTCCCGGTTCTTTTGACGCTGATTAATATTTTTTGATAAATTAAAATATTTATTATCTACTCGTTCTTATGCTGAGCTACTTATTTTGATAACCGACGGTCTACATTGACGGACTTGAGAAAATCGTCAATACTATTCAAGATCGACAGACAAGTCTCAAACTTTATCCCCATTTTCGTTATTTTGTGTCCCAAAAACGTACAACAATTTTAGTATCAGTCACTAGTATACACACAGCCAGTGCAAAAGAAAAATGGATTCATCCGAATACAGAAAATAAAGAAAATCTTACCAATCGTATCCGGCTTAGTCCCTTGCAGATGCAGAAACCCAAATTCTTCCAAATAAAAGTTCACTTTTTTGCCCAAAGGATACATGCGATCCACATTCTCGTTGGCGACAAACTTTGGCCAAACGCTTCCCAGTACCCAAACCCATTGCGCATACTTTGAAAAGTTGACAGGGAAATTAGTGTGAAATCCAACCACTTCTTTAGGGAATAGAGTGGCCATATGGGATCCAATTATGTGTCCAAAATTCCCACCTTGGACGTAATAATGTTTGTGACCAAGCCTTTGCATCAAGTTCCTCATTATAATTGCTATTTGATGCGGAGATAAGCCCGGACGGACTGGAGCCTGAAAATAAAGGTTCTTGTAAGATAATTGACCCGAAAACTTTGAGTTGTTCTTGGAAAAATATAAAATAAATTGGAAAGGATGCCAGGTATTATAAGAAAGGAAAGTAGCTATTTGGCTAATAGGTTAAATGAAACAAAGTCAAGGTTTAATGAGAATTGACATTGGTGTAATTAAATAAATACGTTCTTTAGTTGAAATAAAACGGACAAATGCGAGTTTGCCCTTTGAGAGCCCCCTTTAAGAATTATTTTATTTTATTTTGTAGTATTTGTTTTTATAGTAGCTACAAAAATACCTCGTACGTCCAAATTTCGATAGTCTATCATGATTCATGATGTACAAGCCTAGTGATACACAGACACACTGACGGACAGCGGAGTTTTAGTAAACATGATCTTTTATTATGGATGGAAGCCTAAAAATATCTGCCAAGTAAAAATTTAATATGGCTTTTGACGTTTGGATTTAGACATTTATCGTATAGTAATACGAGTAAGAAAAAAAAAGAGGTTTTCTGGAGTTTTGGATCTGGTTAATAAACTGAATTTTGTCTTTTTCTTTAATGACTATAATGTATCTTTGGGACGATAATGTTTTTCCACTACTTACTTATTTTCGATAGAGGTATTTTTATTCAATCTTTACCTGCGAGAATCCGAATCCAGGCAAACTAGGAACTATGACCTCAAAAACGAATTTGTATCCCGGTCTCTCAGTAGTCAACAGTGGTATCGCTTCGTAGAACTCCCTGATAGACCCAGGCCATCCATGCAGGAGTAACAATGGTAGAACCTGCAAATAAAATATTGTTCATTTTGTCTAGACTTAAAAGAGACTGCAAACCTTGGAGTTTTGGCATGTCTTTGCACAGGAGGAACTGCTCCGATCTGGTCCACGGTCTGGTGGATCTGGTCCACCCAATCCTAAAACTTGCACCAGCAAACCTGGCTACACAACTGGAAATTACTTACTGACATCAGTTACAGACTATTGTATCTCTTAAGCAGTTGAATAAAAAATTAAGTGCCCGCATGACAACATACACAAATAAATGATTTATTACACAAAATGAATGCAAAACTTCATTAAAAACGAATCCTAGTAAACTACATTTATCCGCACAAAAATATTCACCTACACACACATCTTTCAGCGTTCTCAATCGCCAATATTTTTCAGTTAGCGAGCGACACATGTAATCGCTTTTACCTGTTCCAATTCAACTAGATGGCATGTCGAAGCTTTCGATTGCAGAGACTAAAATCGTTACCTATCAAATTCCTCTCATTGAGCCGAGAGAGTACGTACGGACGAATCTTGAAAAATTTCGAACGTACTCATACGATGGTACTGGATCATAACGTTTTCCTAGATTCGAAATTGAATTCGGTTTTATGTGGATGGAAAATGTGATTATATTTCTCTTATTAGGCATTAGCGGTTACAATTGTGTGGATCAATTTCCACCGCACAGATGTGGTGAAATTAAATTTCTATAAGTTTGTAGTAAAGTTTTGTTTCAAATTACTAAATACTTTTATCTCATTTATATAGTTAAACAGTAGGATTTTCTCTTATGCTGTAGGTGCGTTTACGTGACGGAGATTACTATTAAAATCCAAATATAAAACTAATATTATAAATGCGAAAGTAACTCTGTCTGTCTGTCTGTCTTTCCTTAACGCCTAAATTACTGACCCTATATGTGTGAAATTTGGTACAAACCTAGTTTGGAACTCTTTCTCGAGTTCGGACATGGAATTTTTTTTAAACATAAAATCTGCAGGTAGTGACTATTCCACGGGAGCAAAAGCTAGACATTTATAAATTGTTTGGTAGACCAAAATTAAAATACAAATAAAGAAGACAGAAACAATTAAGGAACCAGAACTAACTATCCCATTGTGTCTAGCCAAGCCTATTGACAAAATAAATGACGATCAATAAAATCAATCCAATAATAAGGGCACGAACTTAAGACTACGATACAAGTTAATAAAGTTAGTTTTACTATTAGAAGGGATTCAAAACTTAGAAAAAGACGATGACAAAGAAGAAAATGAAAACGAAATAGATTCTCGCATAATAAATACGAACAATGTTTATGCCTTACCATAACATTAACTTCTACTTCAGGCTTAACATGAATGTAATGAATATCCAACCCCTGTATCTTGGTCTTATATTGTTTGAATTGGTTCAAAAATCTTTCTCTTTTCGCGAAGTCGTATTGAAAGATCCAGTAATTGAATATTTTTGAGAATGCTTCTGAATGCACACCGTAAGTCCATGCAGTGTCGTTGAAACTTTTCTTCATCTCGTTCCTTCTGTACATCTCAAAGAGGCCACGTATCTCTAAATTCATCTGAAACAAATTGACTTTGTTCAAGTATGGCTTTGATGACTATTTGATTGTTCGATCCCTTTGTATCATCACCGTCATCATTTGTTTTTATATGTTTAATAATTTAGGGATTTTTATAACGCACAACGTATATCAAGTCCCACTACTGAGCTACACACTGCTGTTTCCTACATGGAGAAGTTATGATCACTAACTACCACACTTGCTCAAGGTGAATTGGCGATTTTAAGCTTAAAATTAGCAATTATAAGTCCATGTTTTATCAATCATATAAATTACTACCTCCGACTGCTTTCAATTTCAAAACAAGTTATATGCATAATATGTTGATGAAATATCAAAATAGTGCAGAATAAATACAAATATTATTAAAATAATATACTTACAGCATCACTAAACACAATCCGATAAGGTCTTATAGACGTGTCTTGAGGTTCCGTAGCATTTGGCCCCCAGAATTTATTTAAGTCAAATGTAGGCATTTCTGGCACATGAACTACATCTGTATAGATATTGTATACAATCATGCACAGAACTGCAAATGCAACTAGAGACACGAAAGATGCAAGCTGCAAAAAAAGTTGAAGCTTACTATTTAAATAAGCCTTTGAGAGAGTCAAATATCAAAAAATTTTTTGCTTAGCACTGCTCTGATCTTTGGAAACAGTGGTCGGTAAAACATCATTATTTTTTTATGTTTTCGATATATTGAAACATTGTTGATAGCGTACTAGTCAAAATCCTTTGATAAAGTTACTTTTACCTAATTATTTAATGTTTTATCACTCTCAATTATAAGGGTAATAACGATAAGAATGCGTTTAGTTCGGAAAATATTTTCTAGAAAAAGTTGGAGAACAATACTTGAATACCGATATGGATCCTCAAATCCGTAATTATAAAAGGCCAGCAACGTACTTACCCTATAGTGTTATGATTGCTTACCATCAGGTTATCTATCTGCTCACTTAAAAACATATAACATTCAAATGAGAGCAGATATTATTATAATATATGGTCTCTTAAACTGGTTTTGCAAAACTAAAACTAAAATTGAATTATATGGAAATGTTACAATGTCAAGAGAATCTTAATTAAAATTAAACAGTTAGCTATTAATCTCAATGGCACTAAACTGGTAAATAAAAATAGTTTCCAGCAGTACAAATACACAAGCATTGCATGCAGTTTATTTAAAGTATGATAAAACATTCTCATTACAATATTCCTGGCTTTATTCATTACTAGTTTTGCCTGAACTCTATATATAGTTTTTTTCTTTTAATACAACAAGCGTTGTAACCAAACCAATTGTTTTAACTTGTCTTGGTTTATCTCCAATAATAAAAGAATAATTATCTAATTCGGTGCAGCCATTCGATAGTTATAGGCATACAGACACAATGTTTATCCATTTTTATTTTTTAATACTCACGGTCAAAACATTATTATTTTCTTTCACTTCAACTTTTCCAACACTTTTTTTATTTTTTATGTCTTTAACGACATCTCCTTCTTTCTTTTTAGTTTTTTTAGCCATTTTACGTGTACTCCTAGCAACGCTTGCAACTGAACTAAAAATATTGACGATATTATCTTATCTTGTAGGATTATCTATATTAATATCGGTTCGTAATACTTTATCAGTTTGCATAATATTCTAACCTATAGATAAAACATTATCGAACATTGATTTAAAATTTTATTTGAAATTAATGTGTGGGATTTTTTATCATTACATTTTCGTGAGGTAATAATTTGATTGATCGTGTTCGTGGGGTCGGTTAGAGATTTTTTTTGATACCAATGCTCTCTTTGTGTATTTTTTGTAATTATTTAAGATAAGTCTCTCACCCATTCATAATTACTACTACTTCTGACTTGAACTACACTAGAGATCGACCAGAGAAACTCTAGAAGCAATAAAGTTGATTTAGTGCTGCAAAAAGACTGTATTTTTTCCTTGATGTCTAAAGACGTAAGTTAACAGAACAAACAATTTAAAAAGCTCAAGGAATGTCTAAACAAGGTATTCAAAAGTTTAAGAACAAGTTAAGTATTGTTTCCGTGTATCTGTTAGTTCGAAACACCGAATAGAATCCAGTAAGAGAACTACGGATTAAGTAAAACTAAAAAAAAACACTGAGCTCTGAAATTAGGAAACACAATTGGGTACTTAACAACTAATCAGAGTCACTAGTTTGCGATGAATTTTGTCCAAGACTGTATGTTATGACATCAAGACTTATGCGTCAATGGGTAAATTTCTAGGGCTTATTTCTTGAAAAAAAATGTACAAGGTTGGCTAGCGAGAAAGCTTGTAGTCATTAAGCCTAAGGATTTTGTTTATAAAGTTAAATAAATAATAAATGTTTTTTTTTATATTTTAAAAGACAAATTAATTTATATTCGACCAATTTAAATAAACAATTTGCTAAAAAAAATTCAAATCGCCAAAAATCTTCGTAGACCACACTATACTCAAGCACTTTGAGAATTGATATGTTTTCCAAGCAAGTCCAGTCAACATTAGTTTAAAAGTAAGATGTATTCCCCACACATTCGCGGTTTTATATCGAGAGTACAGTTTCTGGGTCATTCGCTTCATGTAGCGAAGTGCAGTGCCTTCAAAGGTGTAGGGGGACTGTTATTCTATGTTCCAGAAAGACATTTTGTTCAAAATATTTTGTGGTTTTAAGGAATCAGTGCCGCTCATAGAAAACGTTTAAGAGTAAGGTAAAGAGAATGGTAGAGTATTGGGCCTCGGGCAACTTCACTCACGCTTACGAGTACTAAAAACTACCTCGTTCCTTCTCCTGATTCACATATACATATATTTTGGTACATAATTGCATTGGCAGCCACAATCCTAGCTCAACATCAGCCCAAATGGACTCTATCTGTGGTCTTCGCTCTTTGGTCTTATGCTATCATAAAAAACCTGATTCATACGGCCAAAACACACTCCAAAAATTGTTTCACGCAGGTTTTCTGTAAGGTTGTAATATCACTACAGCCGAGTTAGTCCATTGTGATTTTCCCGAATTCCCGAAATTTTCTCTTCACTAGTTAATGAAAAAATGAATTTATTTTTTTAAATAGGCCTTAAAACAACACTTTTCCACGTCAAAATTGAATGTAAAAAATACTAGATGAAGCCGGCAGATAATTGATACATTAAAAGAAGTCGCATCAAAGTCCATTGCGTAGTTTTAAAGATTTAAGCAAACATAGTGATATAGGAACAGAGAAAGCGACTTTGTTTTATACTATGCAGTGTTGTATCAACATTTCAGTCCCGTTTTATCCGTGTTTTGGTTCAAAGTACAGTCGCACTAACGCCTTTACGTGTTCACTTACAAGTAATAACGGAATGCTCTCCCTTTATTGCTGTTTATGCTTGTATTCTGTTACCTCCTCGCTCACACTGCCTTGAGAACGCAATGACTTAGCTTTGATGTATGACACAATTTCCTAATGGGTGATTGACGACTTATTTTTACACGATATCATCATCGTCAGCCTATAAGTGCCCACTGTTGAGCTAAGGCCTCTTCTCATACGGAGAATGTTTGAGCATTATTGACCACGCTTGCTCAAGGACTTGGCCTAGGCGATTTTGTTCTGGTTTGCTCAAGATATTTCCCTTCACCGTATGTCAGAGGTATCTAAATAATCATAGATAGTGTATAACTCAGAAAAATATACATGCTTGCGTTCTTGCTAACGACACTTTAACTTAACTTTTACTACGACTACGATCATAAAATGTATTTATTTGTCTAGTGTTCTTTGATTTTGATAGTGTTGTTGGTTAAATAGTCCCTAAGGCACCTTCTAAACAAAAGGCCAACCTAGAAATCTTACTTGAGGAGGAGGAAGACTCCGTTTTTTAACGTTGTACACGAGTATTATCTCCTGTATCGTGGGATTATAAATATAAATTTACCTACACATCGCACCGAGACCTTAAAAAACAATAAATTGGATCGTCGTCGATCGTTGATCGTGGATCACTTAAAGTGCGAATCCGCAACATATTTCCCAGCAGCCACTTGCCCAGCCACTGCGCCAAACATGCAGTAATAGACCAACAAACCGGTCTTGAATTCCGTTTTGTTGCAGGTGGTCAAATGTCAAAGGCTGCTTTGATTATTTGTTTTCGGTATATTATAATGTAAAGAAAATTGTTAGTCTATTGCCGTAAATTCCTTATTCTTCCTTAATTTAATCTCAAACCATCATGAATAGTTGAGACAGGAATGATACCAGTGTCCCTTAGGTGTATTTCGAGCGATAGAAACGTGGCGATGACGTCACAGCAGGCACTAGAATCCCCTATATACCCTTTTCGTTTTCTTTTGCATTTTGACCACAAAAATCTTCTAATGGCTTCTCCAATCCTGGGTGGGGCAAGACGGAGTTTCAGTCGTACTGATTAAAAACTACGGAGGTCCTTGGGCCAAACGCAATAAGGTACCGCGGCTTCGCTCTGGGGCACGAAAAGGAACTAGGGGTATTTAGTCAGTGAGAGTCTAACACTCCCTCTCGCCTCAACCTGGGTAAAGGAAGTTAATTGACGATTGTCCCCTGACAAAAAAGCGTTCCTTCTCCTGCTCCGAGCTGGAACCGCGGTACATAATTGCCGCTTGCAACCCACAACTCCGGTTGGCCATCTACATACGTATCAACAAAGCGTTAAATACATGGTAAAACTGAACCCTATTAACCTTGTTTTAAAGTTGAAAGGTTTTAACATTAATGTTAATATTTTAGCCAATAATTCAATATAATTAAAATCTAGTACGGTTACTGCTGTATTGACAGTGTACTGAAAGTAGGTCAGTGGTAAATTAATTTTGCTTTGATTGTATCGAAATTATTATTTACCGTTAAAATAATTATTTTGTGTGGCATTTTCTGGCTTTAGCTACGTAACATGTAGGTTAACCTTTTGGTTGGAAATTTTATTGCCAGGTAAGAGTAGACAGTTTTTTTTTCATATGAGGCGACGACATGCTAGCATACGGATGACCAGATGGTAAGCAATCAGCGCCATCCATGGACACCCGCAACACCAAAAGAGTAGTTACGAATGCGGCTATTGGAAATATTATGCCGGCTTTTGGGTTGGGTTTTGTATTTTTAAGGATTGGGAAGCGATGGAAGGAGATGAAGGGATTAGGCCTCCAACAACGTTGTGGTTGTTTCACGCCGATTTTCTGTAAGGCTGTAGTATCACTTCCATCTAGCTAACCCATTCGTGACGAAGCATGTGTGGGCTCACCACACATGCTTCGTCATTGAGGAGGGAGAAAATCCTAGTGCAAAGCCAACGTTTTTATTTAAATAAAAAAGAAAGAGAACGGGGTGGTTTTAAATTAGTTAAACTCTGACCCACGTCCTACCTCATTCAGGGCTTGAAAAGAAATTGGATTATTAGTCCATTTGAACCTTAAACCAAGTTAAGTGTGGGAGAGCCATGCTTCGGCCCAAATGGGTCGGCTCGACCGGAGTGATACCACGGCCTCACAGAAGACCGGCGTAAAACAACCACAGCGTAGTGTTTCGCCGTGTGAGTGAGAGTACCGGAGGCCCAATCCTTCCCCGCCCCCAATCCCTCCTCAATCCCTAAATCTCCAAATCCCTAATCCCTAAAAGGTCGGCAACGCACTCGTAACTCCTCCGTTGCGGGTGTCCATGGGCGACGCTGATTGCTTACCATCAGGTAATCCGTCTGCTCGTTTGCCGACCAATCACATAAAAAAACACCAAATAGTGAAAATAATGAACACGTAACTAAATATCTACCTCGAACTTTCAACTACTAAAGTTCAAAATCCAGTGGAAATTATCTATTCGGCCATTTCAGTGTTACTGTCAAGCATTTTGATGCCGAAATTCGAAATGTAGGTTCTGACAATTTGCAATAATATTATGTTTGAATTTCAGCTGTCGGTAGACATGTAATTAAAATTCTGTATTATGCTTCTATATTGGAACTGGCTTTAATAATAATATTAATGTGAAAATGAGTTTGCTTGTTTTGTTATACACGCCTTACGGCATTATTAGAATTCCTCAGGGAATTATCGGCAGCGGCGACCTCTTACGTCCGGCCTTAGTCGAGGAAATGGTGCGATGGAAGATGAACTGGGAAACCATCTTCTCTTTTTGCGAAGCAGTGATGCTCGCTCCGTGACCAGAACCAGACCCAAGCTTGCCGTGCATAGTGTTCCGTTCGAGCCTCAAATACACCACTACAGTTGGGGCCCAATAGGGTCAATGTTTACAATATGGTACAACGGCTTCGGCTAAGAGCAGAAGAAGGAACGAGGTGGTTTTCAGAATGTAAAAGACATACTAAATTAACTAAAATTCGCGGGTTACTCACGTGTACATGTTGAGAAAAGCTCTACTAGTTTCGAACCACAGAGGGGTTCTTCCTCATGAGCAGCGTACTAGTAGAGCTTTTCTCAACATGTACACGTGAGTAACCCGCGAATTTTAGTTAATGTAAAAGACATTCCTTCTCGCCACACCCTGGGCATGAGAAGCTACGGGATAATATTTCACCCCTCAAAAAAATACAGAGG